ATCCTTTGTTAGAGCAATCGACGATTGAGTGGTCGAATTTGATCGGGTTTTTGCCTCGAGACCTCCCTGACCTTGGTCAGCTACAGTCATGATCAAATTCGGATCCTTCTCCGGCGGGTTGACAATGTTATCCTTCATGTTAAAGTAAATTTCTTTCCTGTTTCAGCAACAACAACTGGTTTCCTTTACGTAGAAAACGCGTAGGACTGGTACAGTTTTGTTTTGGTGCTGTGCATGGGAAATAATCTTCTACCTTTTAGTTTTTGATTTTTGATTTCTGAGTTTTATGGCGTGTCCCCTGACCGTCAAGCATTGACTCCACCGGTCAGACCTAGCAACAGAACCTTTGGCAAGTCACCCACTGGAAAGAGCTCTATTGTTCCCAACACAGTGACACAATCAAAGAAGGCCACCAAGCAGGGCAAACCACCTAAACAACCAGCCAAGAAGGCCCGTACAAGTGCAGATGTTCAATTTCAGGAACCATCTCCGGCTCAAACCTTGGCGGCCCCGGCTGTTCAAGTAGACACGTCTCACATGGAAGGGGACAACACCACTGCTGCGTCTCAAGATGAGAGCCAAACCTCATCTCTTACTGCGTCTACCCCGCAAGGTGGAGGGCCTCCATTCTTCTCTCCTCCTCCTGGGAAGGCTCAGAGTGATGGCGCCAGTAAATCTTCTCGGTCCGCCCGCGGAGCTCCCCGCTCCGCGGAGGGGACATGAGAGGCCCACAATCGTCTGCAGGCAGAAGATCCCGTATTAGTGGCCCGTCAAGTGGAGTCTCTCATGCTTCACTTGATGAATATTTACGTTCTCTTCCAGCAGGAGATTGGTCTGGCGATGGTCACCGCCGTCGTTCTCCACTGGCTACTCGAATCTGTTTCCAGAATGTCAACGGATTACCAGAACACGGCAATGACCCCAAGCAGCAACAGATCAACTCCTGGCTGAAGGAAGAACGAGTGGGAATTGCGTTGTTGGCAGAGGCCAAGACGTTCTGGCCTTCTATCAACAAAGGTCACGGTTGGAGTGACAGACTCCGCCAAGCTACGATGAAGTCCAAGCAGAAAGGGTTTTACTCGTCGGTAGCTTACAATCGGCATCAGGACAGATCTGCTGCCACCTCGGCGGTACAATGGGGCGGGTGCATCGCAACTGTTTTGAACCAAGTGGCGCACAGGGCAAAGGAAGCTGGAAGAGACCCCACAGTTTTAGGAAGATGGGCCTATGTTCGTCTCCAGGGAAGGAAGTTGAAAGCACACGGGGTAATGTCCAGGACTCTTTGGTTGAGGTAAATGACGCAGTTCGCCGTCCGATCTCCAAGGATTTGGTGGTCGTCGCCGCGTACCGACCCAACAAGCAAGGCCTCGGTGGATCTACAGTATGGGCACGACACAGGCTTCATTTTCATGCAGTGAATCGAAAAGTCAACCCACGGAATGCCTTTGTTGAGGATCTTTGTAAACAGATCACCAAATGGCGTGACAAAGGATGTGAGGTGGTTTTGGGCATAGATGCAAACGAGGATGTCACTGTTAACGCACCCCAGTCTATCCGCCACCGTTTCCGGGCCTGCAGTCTTGAGGAGGCGATTCTAAAACACCATCCACCGCAAGCGACCCACCAGCGCAACCAACAGAACATTCAGATCGATGGTATCTTCACCACATAGGGTGTACCAATCCTTGCGGGTGGGTACTACGCCTTTGATGAATTCTTTGATTGTGATCACCACGGATTGTGGATTGACATTGATCTTTCCGTCTCCTTGGGCAACTTCCAACCTCAGAAGTCCAACTTCAAGCCACGCAAGTTGTCCCTTCAAGACTCTCGATCCGTACGCAAATATCTTCAATTGGTTCACGAAGGTTATGCCAGGTACTCCATCTCAGAGAGATTGAATAAGCTGAATCAGCGTATTGAACAACTGCGACACCAGATGACTCCTTCCTTGGTGCGCAAATACAACTGTTTACATAGCCAAATGTATACCCTGAGGCGCCAGGCGGAAGAGAAGTGCCGGGCCTTGGCTCCGGGTAAAGTCCCATGGTCACCTAAAATGCAGGGATTCTGGGATCGGACGAGCCTGTGGAAGCTTCTGTTGAAAGGCAAGAAGGGTTGCCGTGTGAGTTTGCGCAAAGTTCGCCGGTTAATGAAGAAGACAGTGCTGCCACAAGCTTGGAGGAAGTCAGAGGTCCACCTGGACGACTGAATGAAGCAAGATCGCTCCATGTACAAGCAGGCCAAACACACCTACGCAGCTCAATGGAGGAAAGACTTCTTGACAGTTCCAAGGACGCAAAGAAGCATCAGTGGAAGTCTCGGAAGGCCCGCGATAGATTATTTTGGTTACGACGAATGAAGCAAAGAGAGGAGGCGAGACACCGTCGTCGCGCCCAGAGCAAAGGATCTACAGGGGGACTTCAGGCTATGCAAATCGAAGAACACTTACCAGACGGTACTACAAGTCTTCTGACCATCACTGACCGCCGCCTAGTAGAAGATGGGTGCATGCAAGAAAACACGGCACGCTGTGATCAAACACAAGCTCCGTACACCACCCCACCTATGGCCGAACCGTTATATAGCAAATTTACCGGTGACAGTGCTGAATCCAATTCTCTGGCATTGTTAGAAGGCCGTTACATGTTACCTGATCTGTTGGATCCAGCTACGGCTTCCTTCTTATCTCACTGCCGGTTCCACAAAGGACACTTCAAGGCGGCTACCCAGTCTCCATCCATAGCGTACTGTGATGCCCTCTTCCGGAACATTCTTCTCATCACGGGCTTCGTCCCTCTTCAATGGCAAAACCTGATGAACTTTGCCATTGAATTGCCATTGAAAAGAAGCCCGGAGACTTCCGCCTATCTAAAATGCGCACCATCCAGCTGATGAACTCCGAGGCCCAGGCAAATAATAAGAAGGCAGGCCGTGCAGCCATGCACTTTGCCGAAACGCACTCCTTGACACCAGACGGGCAATGTGGCTCCCGCAAACGTCATCAAGCAATTGACCTGGCCTTGTCTAAACGATTAGTGTGGGATCTACTTATCCTTCAATGCCGTGCAGCCGGGTGGATCTCAAACAACGCGAAGTCCTGCTTTGACCGTGTTGTCCACTGGGTGGCCATCATCACAATGTTGCGGTTTGGCTTGACATGACGTGTCCTATCATCTATGTTCAACATGCTCTCCTCCGCTACGCACCGTGTTCGCACAGGTTTTGGTGACTCCAAGAGAAGCTTCCGCCCTCCGTCAGTTGTGCCATTCCAAGGTTGTGGGCAAGGCAATGGTGCCGGACCTCCTATTTGGATCTCAGTGAGCTCGGTGTTAATCACAATGATGGAAGCTATGGGCTATGGATTTGAATGTCTCTCGGCGTTAGAGTCACAACTAGTGACAGCCCAATTTTCTGTTTTGTTGACGATACGGACGTGATTGAAGCAGGTGGCACAGTTCATCACTCGGGGGAAGATATTTGCGCCTCAGTTCAGGCTGCTGCCACCTTATGGTCGGGGGGAATTCGGGCAACAGGTGGGGCAATCAATCCGGAGAAGTCCTTCTGGTGGCTTATTGACTTTGAATGGGATGCTCGAACTGGTCAGTGGAGATTCTGTAGGAAACGCTCCACGGCACCGGAATTCGATCTTCAGATACCGGGGCTATCCGGGGACATTGAATCCCTTCGTCGTCTAGAACCAGCCAGATGATTCCGAACGTACTCTGGGGGTGATGTTGTCGCCATTGGAAAATCACAAAGCACAGGAGGCACAGTTAGTCTCTAAAGCTAAAGAGTGGGCCAAACAGCTTCGGCCTCACCTGCTACACAAGTACGTCGTGTTACAATTGATCCGGACCACGATCATGAAGAAGCTTGGGTGTCCTATGGCACTCACTACCCTCAACGCTCAACAATGGCAGGACAACATGTCACCGGTTCTCCAGGTGTGCTTACCTAAGTCAGGTGTTTGCCGCAACTTTCCTCGTTCGGTGGTCTTTGCCCCGGTGAATTATCAAGGCCTTGGAGTTCCTCACCCCTTTGGCGAGCAAGTGTACAAACATTTGACGATGTTTTTGCGCCATATGTCAGGGGGTACAAAGACTGGAGCCTACATGGACGCCAATCTCCAGGCCCACCAACTGGAGACTGGTACTTCCTTTGGTCTTCTACAGCAAGATTACCAGAACACATCCATTCTTGCGTCTGATACCTGGCTTAAACGGGTGTGGAAGGAACTTCAGTCACTGGATATGTATGTGGCCTTTGACTCCCCGGCCTTGTCTTTAAGGTGTCATCATGACGCCCTCCTGATTGACTTGTTCATGGATCTCAAGGTTGATCAGGACGACCTTCTCTGGCTTAACTGGTGCCGGATGTTCCTGCAAGTAACCACCGTGTCAGATATCACTACGGCCGATGGCCGCTATATCCGGCAATGCATCTGGAACGGTTTCCGCGACGACACTTATCGGACCCCATATAAATGGCCTTGAATGGTACGACCCGGGCGTACGCATTGGGAACTCTGGCAAAGAACACTGTCCCACGTCTCTTGCCTTCACACGGTCAGCACCACCCTCTGCTCCAACCCCTGGGACCTTGGCACGACCACTTCGAGTCTTGGAACTGGCTCTGGTCGCCGACTGTTGGCTTGTTCCATCGGGTTGGGGCTGCATGGACCCATCTCGCCCTTGTAGGTTCCTCTAAAACTTCTCGGCGCTATGCTCCATCTGGCAATCACAGTGGGACGGACAGCCTACAGCGACCAAGTTCTTGGTGGACTTGCCCTTTGCCTACTGACGTCCTGCGTGCCACAGTGAGGCCCCTCTCCGGTTCCAACTCGGTGCTCCTCACTGGTACAGGTCTCCCAACCTTGCCTTCCTCCAACCCGGCCCCCTCCATCCTCCAAGCCTGGCAAACCTTTGCCAACCTCTGCACAGACTACTATGGGTGGGTCCCTGATGAGATTGAGGTACATGGGGATGAAGCTGCCTTGGCCGATGCCCTGATCCAGGGTCGCCTCAGAATCATCAGTGATGGGTCATACAAAAATGACCTCTGAACCGCTGCTGTTCAGCTCCTTCCCAAAGGGGGAACTGCTCGCATTGTCATCCGTTGTCAGACTCCAGGTTTACCTCAGGATCAGAGTGCCTATCGTAGCGAGTTGATTGGCCTTCTGGCAGGGATTATGGCGGTCGATTGGCTCCTCCAACAATGGTTCCCAGCCCTTACCCAGCGGCCTTGTGTCAAGATTGCCTGCGATGGTCTTTCGGCCATTGAAATGGCCTTTGAAGATCGAACACTTTCACCCACTGATGCGCAATGTGACCTGGTCTCTTCCATCCGGGAAGCCATCTCTCGGTCTTCAGTGTCTTGGTCTCCGCGGCATGTCTATGGCCATTTGGACAAGTCCAAATTATTTGGTGAATTCACTTGGTGGGAAAAGAAAAACCTGGAGGTAGACGGCATGGCAGTGGATTTCCGCAAGGAACTTGAGGCTGCCCACCAACTTATCCCCTCCAATCCTCGGTTCTTCACGGAACTGGCAGCTCTTTTTGTGGCCGGCACAAAGCAGTCCCGGCTGAGTGACCAATTCATTCAGGAATGTGTGACACTTCCCCACCTGCGGCAACAATGGAGGAACCATAATGTGATCTCTGAGGAGGCCGAAAACCTCATTGATTGGGAGACACTGGGTCGTGCTATGCGGTCACTACCTGCCGGACTCCAGCGCTGGATTACAAAACATTGGGTGGGCATGTGTGGCACGGGGAAGTTCAAAGTGTATTGGGGCCTCAAATCATCCGCTGCGTGCCCTCGGTGCGGTGAGTTCAAAGATCACTTGCATGTTCCACGGTACCCAGCAGCGTCGGCTAGGGACGAATGGGATCAAAGGGTGACCGCTCCCTCGCTCTGGATGGATATGCATCTTACCTCTCCTGCCATCAAACATGCAATACTCCTTCTTCTTCAGGGCGTCCGCGATCCATCACGTCACACCTCTTGTTTGATATCTTGGACTATTCGCCCCGCCTTTCTGGCACAGGAAGCTATTGGGTGTCAGGGACTTTTGGAAGGCAGACTAGCCTCCTTGTGGCTGTCGCTACAACAAAATTATTTTGACAAGATTCACAGTCGTCGGTCGGTTTCTCTGTGGGCTTCCCGTCTCTCGCAGCAACTCATCTCCATTGGGTTCTATATATGGGAACAACGGAACGCCGTTCAACATTCGGATGACAATGTTCAGCTCCGTGAACGTCACTGTGCTGTCAACGAGGGGATTTACTCTCAGTTTGATATGGGTTCAGCCGATTTACCTCCGGATATTAGACACATGCTGACATGCCGTCACAGTGTCCTCCGTAAGTCACTGGTGGACAAGGAAGAGTGGCTGAAGCTACTTCGACAGGAGCGCAAGGCCTATCGTCGCTCTCTGCGGGCTCAACGCCGTAGCCTCCGGACTATCTTTTCTGCTCCCCCCTCCTGACCGCTTCCCAACGTTCGTGGGACAATAAGTGCCCCAAATTCACCCCGCGGGAGAAGTCATTCTTAGTGACATGACTTGAGCAACTTCTGTTTAGGTACAGATGCCTCCCATGGCTCAAACTCGTTGTTGACTCACCGCTCCACAGTACTTGACCTTTACAGCCAAATATTTCACCGGCAATCGAATGCCCATAGAGTAGCATCCTAACGATTAATGTCTCAGTTATTATTATTATTGGTGGTGAGGATCTGCACCTTGCGAAGGAAGAGGAGCATGCTTGGTGGCTCTGTTGCCGATCTTGCTTGGTCCACGTTGGTGAAGAAGACATGGAATTGGCTGAACCGGCCATTCAGCAGGTCCATAAGGCGCTTGTAGGAGGCCACAAAGGGATGTGTTCGTCCCAGTAGTAGGACCCACAGCAGGCCCATGCTATTGAGCTGTGCGTGTCCCTCGACAAAGCCGGCAGGGATGACTACCTTTGTTTTCTTTACCTTCTCAACATCTTGGAGAGTGGTGGTGCCACCATCGTTGACGAGGTCCCAGGCATTGGATCTCTCTTGTGCATCTTGTGAGGCATCACCATTGGCATTGTTGTACTCGGGGACAACAATGGAGAAGACATGAATTCCTTGGGTCAGATCTTCATAGTTTCTCCCGCCCCACATAAGACTCATGACCTTCATAGTGAGATCCGGTGTTGCTAGTGGTCGTGATGGGGACCCAAGTTCCTGCTCAAGGCTGGCAAGTTCCCGCTCCAGCACTTGTCTCTCTTGCTTCCCTGATTCCGCCAACTTCTTCCATACTGGTGGAAGCTTGTTCTCATAATCCACTCCACAAAGTGACAGTAGTAGTGGATACAGGAGGGAGCCAAAGCGTTTGCGTACAGATTTTGGTGCTTGCGACCGTTGTCTGACTCGTTCCTCCCGCTCCCCTGATACCACAAGCTCTTCACTAATACAAATGAGTGTATTGCTCATTTTTTCTTGGAGTTCGGTAGTGGTCTCAGCAGCCGTGGGTGCTACGAGACCAGGTAGCATAAAACTCAGAAATCAAAAATCAAAAACTAAAAGGTAGAAGATTATTTTCCATGCACAGCACCTGTACCAGTCCTACGCGTTTTCTACGTAAAGGAAAACAGTTGTTGTTGCTGAAACAGGAAAGATTTTTACTTTAACATGAAGGATAACATCGTCAACCCGCCGGAGAAGGATCCAAATTTGATCATGACTGTAGCTGACCAAGGTCAGGGAGGTCTCGAGGAAAAAAACCGATCAAATTCGACCACTCAATCGTCGATTGCTCTAACAAAGGATAATCCTGCCATCACGACTCCCAAGCGCAGCAGCAAGCGAGACCCTTCAGAAACCGCCCAGGATGGCGCAATGAAAGGCCGCTCGCTCTTCCCATCTGAAGTTCCCCAAGGTCAGGACGTCACAGTCAACACTCGCCCGAATCCGACCACTCCTTTGTCAATCGAGTTAACTAAGGACAATCCGCCTGATCCCACGACTTCAAAGAGCCAACGCAAGCATCCCCCTCCTTCCAAAACCGCCGAGGATGGCGCAGTGCAAGGACGATCGCTCGTTGCCTACATCACAAAACTCAAGGTGTCAACGTTTCACAGGCTCTACAAGAAGGCTTGGAGACAGGAGATGTTTGCTCTCGCAACGGCCCAACGCGTTATCACTACTGACGAAAAGTCGCCTTGCTTTTGGGAATTTTCGCTCGTGTTCGACCCAACATTAATTGTTCAACGCGCCGAGCCGTTGACTTGGATGTGGCGAACAGCATCCGAATTCTTCGCTAATCCTGCTATCATTCCTCACATTGTGGAGGAATTTGAGCGACTAAAATGAGAGCTACAAATAGCCAAAGCTCAGTCCAAGTTTCCACCAAAACAAGGTTGGCACCAGACCAAACTTCTTTGCTATTTACACACAACAACAATCCTATTTTATGATGTCTGCGCTGGCCATCAGAAGTGGCCACCAACCATGGGCTCGAATGACGAAAAATCACAAGAGATGGCTTTGAAATCGACAAGGACTGCGCCTGAGCACGCTCAGGAAGGTCTGGAGGCAACAACCCGCTCGAATTCTACCACCCTATTGACGGTTGACCTTGTGAAGGACAACCCCTGTGAACACAAATTCTCCATGTTGTACAGCATATTTGTCTTGTTTCTTTCTCTGGAAAAGATACAGCAGACCAATTTTCTTGGTCTACCCTTCCAAATCCCCACCAACAGAGTGGGAGCGCCAATCTGCCCATTGACAGATGACTTGAGAGAATTGCATTCAATTCTTTCCTTGGAAAAGGTACCCACAAAATTCCTCTGTATCCCAGGAGAAATCCTTGCATCTTGTTTGTACTTCCCCACCAACAGTGGGAGCGCCGATTTGTCCCCTGACATGATCGACTAGAGCAACTTTTTCTTGAAAAATGCCTCAACGTGGTTCAAACTTATCTGACTAAAAGCAGCATAGTTCCTGGCCTCTACAGCCGTATTACACCGGCAGTTGGATACTCTAGAAGTAGCATAAAAACCAATTAATGATTCAGTTATATATATACGAGACCAGGTAGCTGCTTCTCCATTAGCTGTCGACAATGCTTGAGGAGCTTGGCGTCGGCCAATGGTACGTTGAAGTCTCCCACTAGGACTGGTGGATTGGCGCCATCTCTAGTCTTCTGTGTAATGGACAGGAGGAGCCATTCTGAAAGTTCTGGGCAGGCCTGGTGATCTCCGGTCTCCATGAGTCGCTCAGAAAATTTAACAAATCCTTCCTGAATTGGCAGTCATTGTCCCAGGAAGATATTCACATATTGTGGTGGCAAAGGGAAGAAAGGTCGGGCGTGACACTGTTGGATGTTGGCGTCGCCATCAGGGAATGGACCACTCATGGTGAATTTGGGATTGTCGTCCAAAATTTCTCTTGCCTTTCCAGTGACCCTTGTACGTTGGTGTAGTTGGCAGGGATGGTGAAGGCTTTGAAGGGGAATTCCACTGTTGTGATGGATCCGGCCACAACATCGCCAACAAAACCAAAAGTCATCTCATCCCACTTTGATGGTTGACCCAATACGCTTGGATAGCTGGAGACAGCATGGACAACACAGTAGGTGGGTCCATTGTCGTCTTGCAAAACGCAGAGGAAGGCATTCGGGTATGAGGTGTCGGAGCTGGCAACGCGGAAGTAGAGTTTGTCGCTGTCTGGTGGTGCATTGTTGCTCCTGAAGGCTTGCTACAGTGGGCCATAGTTCTGTTTGTATGGGTCCCCTTCCACAAGTGCGAAGGCGTCATTGTATGTCTTGAGAAGTGGTGGTGGTGCTGCCATCCTTAAAAACTATTCGACTAGCTCCAAGTGTTGATCACGTGATCCGTTGGTGCAGGAGGTATCACAACAGAGGTTCGAAGAAAGTTATGGTGTCGCTGTGTTGTGTTGCAGCGAACCCAATGGACTGCGGTTCGTTTTTTTTTAGGATCGAACGAGTGAGTTGAGTCAGTCGTTAGAAAAAATTTGATTTCCGAAACCGTTGACAACGGCATATTGATGGTGGATTGTGACCTCCCAACAGCCTTGTTGGAAAATTGTCTATTAGATCTAGTATCCAAGTATAGATTCCAGGATTATTGCAACAAGATTCGCCATATTGAGCTTATTGAGCTTATTTAAGCAGAAAGTCGATTTTGCAGCTTTCACGATCGGTCAAAGAATGCATTGCGGAGAAGCCTACAATAACTTTCAAGCAAAAACATTTGCTACCAATCTATAGTAAATGCATTGAATTCAAATATTGAGTGTGCTGCGGTAGACTAGAGGCAATTACAAAGACAGTAGAGAAACCAAACTGGAACACCATCGATTTTCAGAAACTAAAAAAATGCTATTTTCGTAACCTCAAGACATATTTCGCCACTTCTTTCGGCCTTACCATGTTCCACCAGCCCGTAGGAGTAGTTTCCAGGGTTATCTCAACAGGTTTATCCAGATTTGAGCTTATTTGAGCACGATAACCATGTCAAATTGCTTCGCCGTCGAAAATCAATGTAAAACTCCATTTACCTCCTTGCAAAATTTTTCTCGCCTTTTTGCGCACTTCCTAGGAAGCGTGCGCTCACTATTACAAAGGAAGAGTTGCAGTAAATTACAGTAGATTACGCCAAAGCCACCTATTGTTCTCCGTCTCCCTATTACGCATTGTTTGCAGTCCCAAATACAAACTACAGGAGAGAGGAAAGATAAGTATAGTGATAACCACTATGATAAAGAAGATTAATCAAAATAAAGATGCGTCAGAATTCGAGACGCATTCCAGCCTAACCCAAAAGGGTAACCAACCAAATTCAGTATATAGACTAATCCAATCGCCGCGATGGGGAAAAGGAAAACTTCCGTCTGTGACAGAAACGGAAGGGCGCGGTATCCGAGATGTGTAATGTACCAGTACCAAGAAAACGCCGCAGCATATAATGTATTGCTGACGACCATTGCAAACAATGATTTTCCCAGAACAAGAGGGAGCATGAAAAATTGAACCCCGTCTATGTTAAAGAGAGTAAGAAATTTTTTCAAACTCGAAGTTTGTAGATACCACATGTTGTGATGTAGAAATGACTTACAGAGTAGTACGAAGACTGGGAAGAAAGCATTGCAATGAATATCGAATGCGTACAGCCATTCCACTGTCTGCCGAACATGACTGGACGACTTATGATCCGTCAAATGCCGATTAGCAATTTCTCGTCCAATTGCAGCTACAATAAAGCCAGTCGCTAGCCAGTGCAGGAAAATGGAATACAGCATGAAAGAGATCACTCCTGTGAATGGTGCCCGAAATGCGATGGAATAGGCAACACTTGAAATCACAAGAAATACAAATTGGAGGGCAACAAATGCGGGATCATCCCGTGCCCAGTGATTCTTCGTTTGCTTTCGATAATAGGAAGTCTTGTACACTACATGTGGACGAGTGGACAGAAGAGTCTTCATTTGATCCAATGCACTCTGGATATCCATTTGCTGAAAATCAGTCAACCTGGAAAGGTACTGAGACTGTCGAGATTGAGACGATCTTTGGGCGATAGCTCCCGATTTTCGCATTGATCCAAGGGAATCTGCACCTGGTGGCACAGTCAATCGCTGACGAGCACTTTCCGCCATTGTCCCGAGAATCAATCCCCTCTGTCAAGTGGATATGTTGTTGCTGTGATCGGTCCAGTCTCACATCTCACTTTCGGGGATGCAAAATATCCCCCATTAGTTGGGACCAGCTATATCGTATCGTATTGGTACCGGTACCGATTTTTGTTCATCATCCCCGCTCCTTTTTCCAAAATTGGCCAACCGAGATACCCTACTGGAACACCATAGGAAAAGTAGCCAATCAGCATGTAGACTAATTAAATAATAGGCATTCAGTCGATGTGCTTGGATTTTTATGAAACCTTGTTCTTCATGCTCGACGACTGCGAAGGGGTGATTTTGCCGTTTTACGAACGAGAATTGCTCACGAACGAGTACAGGTTTTCGACTGGTACTGTGGTAATACCGTCGATCTATGTTACTCGTATAACATGGTACACTATGTACTCATGTCGCACCTTTCTAGCCAGCTGCACATTTCCAGCCAATCAAAATGCTCACCCAAACCGAACAAACTGGAAACACATCAAAGAGGAAAATCGAACAAGACAACATACCAGTGAACTTTCCTTCTACAATATCTCTACATAAGAGCACAGCATACTATGTAAACCATATTCATAAAACTAATGCAACTGTTACACTAGATTTGACTGGAAGATTTTCGTTCTCTAGCCGTGAAAAAACGTGCAGGCTTCCGACCAGCAATCCCATGCTGATACTCCTGCCAAAGTTCGTTTAACGACCTGGGATTGCCCGATAGAATAGCCATGTTCGCAACTACAATGGGACTAACATCTGCATTTGCTCCTCTTGCTGGAAGTGGTAGTGTAGTAGTCTGCGGCCAGTATTTGCTTGTTGGAGTTGGATTCGCAAGCCACCTTCAATTGTTCCGCCAAAAGCACGAATGTTGTTGTTTAGAATTCGTTCACGATGCAGGATGTAGGCCTTCAAATCTGAAGCATTTGTATGAGATCGAGCAGCAACGTTGCTAAATTGTTGTTGCAGTTGCTGGATACTTATCTGGATGCTTTGGAAGCACAAGTCTCCTAAGTTGAGTTCCCTGCAACCACGCCTCCACCAATACCAGCGCCCCCATAACCGTCTACAATAATAGCCTCATCAATCGTCAACTGGTCGTCCCTCCTTTTTTGGCTGGTTGTTGTATATCAGGCAGCAATGTATGGGCGGCACTGTGGATTATCTGATGGCATACCAATGCCAAGTAGCCTAGTCTTCTGGTGGTGCAAAGCGCCTCCTTCCAGCGTCGGAATGGTCGTTATTGGCTGCTGCTTCCTCCATCACGACGTCACTGTCCATATTTGCTTGTTCTTCTGCAGTTGTTTGACCCTGCATCTCTCAAAGAAGAAGGATCGAGAAAGTGTAATTTTTGTATTGTGGATGAATAATACTGTCTTGTGATGAATATATACTGTCAGAAAGTTACTTATGATACGATAGAATATTTAAGGCGAAAAGTAACTTTTTTGTTTGAGCGATGGATATCCTGCCTGAAAATTACTTATGGTACGACACGAATATTTATGGCAAAGAGTAACATTTCTGTTTGAAAATGTTGCGTGGCATGTTACAAAGCGAGCAACGGTACCGTCAAAAATACTGCCAAAAAGGCAACAGTAACAGTGCGTTTGACACAGATGACTCGAAATTCATATGTATTTTGAGCAACGGTACCGTATTTATGTTACTTTCGTAACATTCCACATATAATGTGGTAATACCGTCGATCTATGTGTACGCATTATGTTACTCGTATAACATGGTACACTATGTACTCATGTCGCACCTTTCTAGCCAGCTGCACATTTCCAGCCAATCAAAATGCTCACCCAAACCGAACAAACTGGAAACACATCAAAGAGGAAAATCGAACAAGACAACATACCAGTGAACTTTCCTTCTACAATATCTCTACATAAGAGCACAGCATACTATGTAAACCATATTCATAAAACTAATGCAACTGTTACACTAGATTTGACTGGAAGATTTTCGTTCTCTAGCCGTGAAAAAACGTGCAGGCTTCCGACCAGCAATCCCATGCTGATACTCCTGCCAAAGTTCGTTTAACGACCTGGGATTGCCCGATAGAATAGCCATGTTCGCAACTACAATGGGACTAACATCTGCATTTGCTCCTCTTGCTGGAAGTGGTAGTGTAGTAGTCTGCGGCCAGTATTTGCTTGTTGGAGTTGGATTCGCAAGCCACCTTCAATTGTTCCGCCAAAAGCACGAATGTTGTTGTTTAGAATTCGTTCACGATGCAGGATGTAGGCCTTCAAATCTGAAGCATTTGTATGAGATCGAGCAGCAACGTTGCTAAATTGTTGTTGCAGTTGCTGGATACTTATCTGGATGCTTTGGAAGCACAAGTCTCCTAAGTTGAGTTCCCTGCAACCACGCCTCCACCAATACCAGCGCCCCCATAACCGTCTACAATAATAGCCTCATCAATCGTCAACTGGTCGTCCCTCCTTTTTTGGCTGGTTGTTGTATATCAGGCAGCAATGTATGGGCGGCACTGTGGATTATCTGATGGCATACCAATGCCAAGTAGCCTAGTCTTCTGGTGGTGCAAAGCGCCTCCTTCCAGCGTCGGAATGGTCGTTATTGGCTGCTGCTTCCTCCATCACGACGTCACTGTCCATATTTGCTTGTTCTTCTGCAGTTGTTTGACCCTGCATCTCTCAAAGAAGAAGGATCGAGAAAGTGTAATTTTTGTATTGTGGATGAATAATACTGTCTTGTGATGAATATATACTGTCAGAAAGTTACTGATACGATATAATATTTAAGGCGAAAAGTAACCTTTTTTGTTTGAGCGATGGATATCCTGCCTGAAAATTACTTATGGTACGACACGAATATTTATGGCAAAGAGTAACATTTCTGTTTCAAAATGTTGCGTGGCATGTTACAAAGCGAGCAACGGTACCGTCAAAAATACTGCCAAAAAGGCATAAGTATTGGTGCGTTTGACACAGATGACTCGAAATTTATATGTATTTTGAGCAACGGTACCGTATTTATGTTACTTTCGTAACATTCCACATATAATGTGGTAATACCGTCGATCTATGTGTACGCATTATGTTACTCGTATAACATGGTACACTATGTACTCATGTCGCACCTTTCTAGCCAGCTGCACATTTCCAGCCAATCAAAATGCTCACCCAAACCGAACAAACTGGAAACACATCAAAGAGGAAAATCGAACAAGACAACATACCAGTGAACTTTCCTTCTACAATATCTCTACATAAGAGCACAGCATACTATGTAAACCATATTCATAAAACTAATGCAACTGTTACACTAGATTTGACTGGAAGATTTTCGTTCTCTAGCCGTGAAAAAACGTGCAGGCTTCCGACCAGCAATCCCATGCTGATACTCCTGCCAAAGTTCGTTTAACGACCTGGGATTGCCCGATAGAATAGCCATGTTCGCAACTACAATGGGACTAACATCTGCATTTGCTCCTCTTGCTGGAAGTGGTAGTGTAGTAGTCTGCGGCCAGTATTTGCTTGTTGGAGTTGGATTCGCAAGCCACCTTCAATTGTTCCGCCAAAAGCACGAATGTTGTTGTTTAGAATTCGTTCACGATGCAGGATGTAGGCCTTCAAATCTGAAGCATTTGTATGAGATCGAGCAGCAACGTTGCTAAATTGTTGTTGCAGTTGCTGGATACTTATCTGGATGCTTTGGAAGCACAAGTCTCCTAAGTTGAGTTCCCTGCAACCACGCCTCCACCAATACCAGCGCCCCCATAACCGTCTACAATAATAGCCTCATCAATCGTCAACTGGTCGTCCCTCCTTTTTTGGCTGGTTGTTGTATATCAGGCAGCAATGTATGGGCGGCACTGTGGATTATCTGATGGCATACCAATGCCAAGTAGCCTAGTCTTCTGGTGGTGCAAAGCGCCTCCTTCCAGCGTCGGAATGGTCGTTATTGGCTGCTGCTTCCTCCATCACGACGTCACTGTCCATATTTGCTTGTTCTTCTGCAGTTGTTTGACCCTGCATCTCTCAAAGAAGAAGGATCGAGAAAGTGTAATTTTTGTATTGTGGATGAATAATACTGTCTTGTGATGAATATATACTGTCAGAAAGTTACTTATGATACGATGTAATATTTAAGGCAAAAAGTAACTTTTTTGTTTGAGCGATGGATATCCTGCCTGAAAATTACTTATGGTACGACACGAATATTTATGGCAAAGAGTAATATTTCTGTTTGAAAATGTCACATAGCATGTTACAAAGTAAGCGAGCAACGGTACCGTAAAAAATACTGCCAAATTTTTGGCAGTAGTAATGAATTGAATCCCCCGTGTCGAGTTGACTCGATGGACTAGAATGAATGGCTATCGCCAACCAATAGCTTATAATTTTGATTATCTCCCTTTTACAACACTGTAACTAGTCAAACCCCTTTATCGCTCTGTTATCGTTCAATAACGGGCACATTAACTCAGTTTATCAGACCCAGCGCTGCTGTACTGCTCGATAGCAACACCAGCTGACCTGCCTGCAATGGCAAATGTCCAAGTCTGTGGGAGACTTTAAAAGACCTGTTGACCGACATGTCAACGTCAGGATACCTATTGCTGAATTACACCTTGTTATGATCGACCATCATACAATAGGTGCGCATAGGATACATTTCATTCTATGAAGTGTAAGATCAGACAAAATCCAACCTTGAGGGGACACTTTCAAAGGTTGGAGGGAGAGCCGAAGCACCTGGATCGGAAGATCCGGCACTACGCGTCGATACGCAGCTCGTTTGGAGGGAGAAAGATCTGCGATTAATTTATATATATCAGCGATCCCAATCCGCCAACACGCCCACAGGACCGTTTAAAATAAATCCGTTTTTATATACGTTGACTTGTGCGCAAGCCGAACAAACGTTCACATCATTCGCCAAAACCCACACAAAATTCATCTGTGGTGACAGAAAATTCATTTTCAACACGAAACTCAACA